CCCTTCACCCTTGCACCCAGAACCCTGTAGTCACTTTTTATCTGCTCAGGGTCTCCCTTGGCAGAATCATTAGTGCCCACATGGATGAGCAGCATGGGGTAGAAGTCAGAGGGCCGGATAAATCTTGGTAATTCCTCTGTGACGTCTTGGATCTGGACTCCGGGCAAGTGGCAGACTTCCTGAGACAACAGGTCAGGTTGGTGGATGGATCCCTCTGTCCCCTGCAGAAGGGCATATTCAATGACCACCACCCATCGCTTCATCTTGGTGGTGGTGATTTTGATCCTCCCCACCTTGAGGAGTTCTGGCCTGTCCTCCTCCACCAATGTAATGTGATCCTCCCCTACTATTGTTTCATATCTATTCTCCAGATGAACAGCTGCAGGTGGAAATGAAAATTTCTGCTTGCTACCAGAGGTTACAAGCTTCCAGAGTCCACGTGCTGCCTCTAGCAGTCCATGTGCTGCCTCTAGCAGTTCTTCCTCCACAGTCCCGGAGGTCTCCTCTAGCATTGAATCAATTAACTCCTCATGGCAGAGGATGCTTTGGAGCCTCACCAATACCTCCTATAGCTCTCTTGCCTTTTCCCTGAGCAACAGCTCCAGAAGTCAATGCTCACACTGCAGGCACTCCCCCACTTGGCCATCAGCTGAAGGAACCTACAAGCCACAGTCCCCACAGTACCAAGCCCGGACCTGGGTGGAAACCTTGGTGGTGAGTGGTCCTGCCTGGACAGAAACCACACAGGTGCAAGCAGAGGCAGTGGCAGTGACTCTGGCATTGCATCGTCCTCCAGCCATTTTCCTGAGTCTGTTAATCTGCCTCGTCTCTTTTACTGCCCTTCTTCCAAGCACACCTCCTCTAATGAACTCACCTGGAAGCTGGCCTGTTTCCTGTTCCTTAGCTCCAAAGTAGGGCTGTCAATTAATTGCTGTTAACATGTGCAATTAATGCTTTTATTTGTTTTTGCATTAATTTTTTTAATGTGCGTTAATTGCTGTTGGTGCTGGGAGAAAAGCAGTCCCTCTCCCCTTGCTGGTGCGTGCCTTTCTTTGTGCTGGGGGAAAAGTGGCCCCTCTCCTCTTGCTGCTGCTGACACTCACACACACACACACACACACACACATACCCCCCCTGGGGAGCAGACTTAGCAGTTGGATGCAGGTAAGTGTATGGGGAGGGATGGGCAGGGGTTGGAGGGCCAGGTCTTGTGGACAGTCTAGGGTTTGTGTACGTCCCAAAATATTTATAATAAATTGAGATTCTATTATTGTTTATGTGCATGATTACAATTGCGATTAATCACAACAATTTTTTAAATCTTGCGATTAATTGTGATTAATTTTTTTAATCGCTTGACAGCCCTACTCCAAAGGGTTCCTTTTCCCTGCTTTCTCACACCAAGCTGAAAGGCTGTCCCCTCAAAGGTGTGGGGCAGGGCAGCAAGCTGACTAGTGAACTGCCTGCAAACTGCTTGCCCTGTTTGCTGCCTCTCTGGTCGCTTGGGGAGTCTCCTTTTATACCCTGCTGAGCCTGGACTGGCTCCACCCCCTTGTTAGAGTTTCTGTCAGTCACAGGCAGCAATCACTTGGCAATCAGCAATCACTCAGCTAGCAACGCTCCCAGCTTCTCCGAGCACATACCCCAAATACGCACTCAGCCCACCAAACAACACTCAGCACGCCAAAGGCACAGGCAGCTCCAGATCATTTACTTTCCCTGGGCAGGATCTGGTGCCTGGTGCCTGGCTTCTCTTCCCCTTCCCCTTCCCCTTCCCCCTTTTGCTCCTAGCAAACTGCCTGGAAACTGCTTGCCCCATTTGCTGCCCCTGTGTGCTGGATTTAGTCTTAAATAAACCATATTTTGTACTAAAAGGTACCATCCTGCTGTGTAAAGTACTTGGTCTGGTCAAGTGATTCTCACGCAGGATGCTGTGGAACCCCTGGGGGCTGTGGAATCCTTTTAAGGGTGTCATGAGACACTGCTCAATATTAGCACTGTTAGCTGTGGAAACACATGACCCACAAGATAAACCCAGAGATTTCAAATAGGAATCCATGGTGTCAAAATCATTCTGACCTTTTTCAGTAAAAAATGAGTGAAAGCTAAGAGCTGGCACTCTATGGTTAAGAACAGACAGTCAAAAGGCTGAATAAATTCAATCTTTGCAGTTTATTCTAAGCTGTGTAAATTGAACCAATAATTAAGTGAACACACATTCACTTTTGATTCTAGAAATGCAACCACATGCCTGCAGTGGTCCAGACCAGAAGCCGGGAGGCGCTGGAGCACACCTCCCTGCTCTATTGGAGCAGACAGCTTGGGCCAAGGCTAGCCTGCTACCCTGTGGGGGAGGGAGGGAGGGCGAGGGGGGTTTGCGGGCAAAGAACAAAGCTTCCTGGGATGCTGGGGAACTGTGAGTTAGCTTGAACCTGGAGGGGATATGGGACAGAGGTTCAATAAATGGATTTAATCTAAACCAGTTAAGTCTGATACTACAACTTTCCAGGTTTATCTTAAACTGGTTTGAGCCATTTTTAAAGCAGTTTATGTGCACTGAACTTCTGTTGTGTTACAGATTTGAACAGTTTCTGATCACTTATTCCAATGTATGTGTAATTTATTTCCCTGGTCTATAAGGGATGCCTTGGGTCTGACAAAGGATACATTGAGTCTAATGTGGGAGGGGTGCCTTGATTCCAAACAGGTTGAGAACCACTAGTATAAGTGTATAGCCGTTTGTAAGAGTCAGATTTGATAATTTTATCATTTCTTTTAAACAGTACTGATTTAAAAAGCAATACAGTATACTGAAACTCAGAATGTGTTCATTCTAATATTATAAAACCCTTAATCTGTCTGTCTGTAACCCTTTATTCGCACTGTCATTGGCTGACAAACAGCCAATCAGAGTGCAAAGAAGCATTTGGACAGGCGGCAACATGCTGCCATGATGGTGGGGACACAGGGGATGGAGCTGGGGGGCAAGGTCAGTGCAGCTGACTTTGCCACCCCTGCACTGCTCCCTGGAGGTGACGGCAATGGAGTGGATGGAATGGGGGGTCGGGGGGGGCACGAAGTTCTGGCCTCAGAGCTGGGCTTGCCCCCCACCCCCCACCCGGAGGTGATGGCGGTGGTGATGCAGGGGGGAGTGGGGTCAGGATGCCGTGGGGGTGGGGTGAGGCCACTGGCGCTGGCCTCAGCCCACCCCTCCCTCCTTCCATTATTGCTGCCTGCAGGGCCAACCTGGCAGCAGTGGGGGGAGGAGTGGGCCCTACGTGGGGAGGTGGAAGGAGTGGGCATGCCACAGTGGTGATGGTGTCGCTGTCAGGGGGGAAGGGGAGGAGTGGGCCCAGGCCCGATGCAGGGTGGGGAGCAGGCCTGCTGTGGCGGTGTGTGGGGAGCAGTGGGCCCGATCCAATGTGGCTCACTGCAGCAGCGGCTGGGGGGAGGGAAGGAGCAGGCCTCCTCCTCGCCTCGGGTCCAGGCCCACTCCTCTCCCCTTCCCTTCCCCCGCATCAGCCCCAAGCCTGCTCCTCCCATCTCCCCGCTGGCGCTGGGTCAGCCTGGACCCGCTGCTCCCCCACCCTGCTGTGGTGGCCCGGCTTCTTCCCACCCTCATGTCTGGTCCTCCCCTGCTGCAGGCTCGGGCCTGCTCCTCCCCTCCCCCAGCCACTGCAGTGGGGAGGGGGAGAATGGGCTCGGACCCCAAGCAGCAGGAGGGAAGGGGGCAGTGGGCCCGGATTGGGGGTGGGGCACGGGGCTCCATCCCCACCCGCTCTCCACCCTGTCATTCTTGATGGGCAATTGGCTAGTATTGTAATACTGACACATTGTTATGTGGCTGCTCTTTTTTCTGTTTGTTTGCCAGTTTAGATTTTACTTTTCTTTTGGATTTAAACAGTAATAATGATATTTGCTATAACTTGGAGGATGAAAATGCATCTTGGCATGAACGTGCTCTGCCTGAAAGAATAACCAAAAAAAGGTTTAAACATGTCACTAATTTGGATAATGGTTTACCTGCCATTTGTTGTCAGATGACACTGCCCTCTGTCTTCCTAAACCTCCACTCCTCCCTGTTCTCAGTCAATTTCATATATTGGATCATCTACCTTTGGATATTACATATTTTCCTGAACAGAAAATACACATTAGTCATACTTTTGAGAAGTCTTACTTCAAATCCTACCGTACCTATATTTTTACAATGTAGTTAATGTACTTACTGTACTACTCACTGTAGATTAAATTAATCCATCAAGAATATTTTTTGAAACATGGGATAAAATACATACATACCATATAATACACTGCCTGTCCTACAGACATTGAATATAAAAGGATACCAAAGAGGGTGATGCTCATTATTGTGATCCAATCATAATAATGCATCTGATGGCAATTTTGTCTGAAAAAGAACTAATGACTGTCGAATTTGCCCTATCTTGTTTATTGCAGTAGTTACTGTAGTTACATGGTATTATTTTGTGAATGTAGGCATAAATAACCATGCACAAGCTAGAAAACTTAAAATATGACATCTTTTGATAATTACCTTGATAATTACTGTATTAGCTACATCTAATAAGTAAACTGTGTGAAGGGGCTGACAGAGCATCAGACTCATGGCCATTTAAATATAGCTTAACAGATGTTTGATGTATTGTGAAGAATAAACTAAGGTATTAAAATTGTTTACCTTCATAATGCGATTTCCATCACTACAAAAACATGTTGTGTCCAAATGATTTCAAAGATGAAATATTTTGGATAGTTGAATATATTGGAGTATGATGGCGTGCATCAGTCAGGGGAATGGTTGGCTATGTGCCATGAGACGCGATCATTTCTTAAAAACTCAAAGAACTGAAATGCTTTTCTAGACAGATCAGCACCTTTATAGCAATGACCATTTTAGCACTGATCATTTTAAAAGGCTTGAGCTGTGCATTGTATTCTGCTGTTGTCACCAGTTCTTTTGGTATTTATCTAAACAGGTGTGATGCTGGTTTGGCCCGACTGTCTGCAGAGCATAAGATTACATATGAAAGACTTCAGAGCTTGAGCAAAGACCAACAAGCTTCTAAAATGATCTTAGAATCAAAAATCAAAGAGGCAGAAATACAGGTATGTTATACGTTTTAAATCAACTGATCTTCATGAGTGAGAGAGTTCAACACCATTAATGAGGATACCATATTGTAAATGGATACTCATTACAAATGGAGGTTCAAGCATCCAAAAGAGGCATTGCCAATATCTTGAGTACGGTATACTCAAGTTAAGTTCATATTCTTGGGACTGAAAAAGGCCACACACTGACCTGCATTTTTCCAAACTTAATGTAAACACTGGTCATTCTTGCGCATGTTTTTGTTGCTGTGGTGCTAACAGCTTCAAAACTGACTGTCATTTTTCAGAACTGCTAATAGCCAGTTTTGGGGCTGGTATTAGAAGCCTGGAAAATGAAAGGTAATAGTTTTATGACTGCTCTTAGGAGCCTTGAAAATGAGGAGAGTGAGTGCCCTAGCTTTAGTAATGTTCAAGGCTTCTACTGTTGGTCCTGAATGTAAATAGTAGGTAAGAAATTGGGACTATGTTCCTACTGAATAAAATATCCTTAATCCTGAGGGAACAAAAATTGACTGATTTTCCTTTCCCTAAAATACTGCATACCTCAGATTTGAGTCATTCAGTGTCTTACATAAGAAATCCTAGAAATGGCAGTAGGGCTCCATTTGGGCATCAGGGACATGCAGAGGCAAGTTTCTCTAGGTCAGGGATGTAAAACTTATCTGGCCCCATGGGCCAGATAAATATTGTGGGTCTGTTCACAGACTGGGCCCACATTTTGGTCCTGCCCCAACCGCCACAGGGTTGTACTCCATGGTCCCAGAGCCCCTGCCATGGAGCTGTGCCGCAGGGCCCTGAATCTCTTGCCACATGCAGCACATCCCCAGAGCTTCACGCAGCTACTCTGGGGCTGTGCTGCTCTCAGCAACAGCTCCACTGCTCTGGGCTTTGTGTGGAGCCATCCAGCGCACTCCACATGCTGCACTCCACATCACTCCAGGACCCACAGGCAGCACTGGGGCATATGTCTTTGATACCTCTGCTTTAAGTGATGCCCTCCCTGCATTTTGCACCAGCCATTTGGCTTTTGCCAGTGGCTTATCCTGGCATACCAGTTCTCTTCCAAGGGTCTGGATGGAGAAGGGGAAGCCTTGACTCCACATGTTGTAGTCTGTGCCCCCTTGACAGCAGGCCTGCAGGTGGGGGCAATAGCTCCTTGTTTGTTTCTGTGCTCAACACAGCCAAATAGGGGCTACTCAGAATCTAGACTTATACCATATTTACCTGAATCCATGAGGATGCTGAATTTAAGATGACATTCCAATAATTAGATTCTATACATGGGCAATTTATAAATTTGTTATTGGAGGGTCTTCTTAAATGCATACCCCTCCCCCTGCCCACTGCTGCAGTGGGGCAAACAGTGGCAGGTAGCAAAGGGCAGGGATCAGGCCACTGGATTCTCCTACAGCCTGACTTACCCCCTGTCCAGTGCCTGCGCATTCTAGCACGTGCCCCCCTGGGGTGCACAGGCACCACCCCTTGCATGCCTGTACCACCTAGGCTCCCCACTATGCCTGCGCCCACTTGTGCTCTACACTGTATCCTCCACTACTTGCCCCCCCTACTTGCTCTTCCTCCCACCTGTCCCCCTCCCCGCCTTGCAGTGCCTGCTCTCCTCACCTGGTACATGTGCTCCCCACAGCCTCTGACCCCTGATGTCTCCTCCCCTGCCACCACCTCAGCCTCCCCTACCTTCCCACCCCACAACTCTTTACTGTCTGGCTTCAGCTCCTGCCCAACTCTGGCTCTGCTCCAGCCTCGTCATGCAGTATCAGTTTTGGCATTGGTAACTCTGGGCCCAGGTCTGGCCTTGGCTGCATGGCTGAGTTGGGGCTGGAGCAACTACATGTTCAGTGCTCTGGTATGGAGCAGGGCCAGAGCTGGGCTGAAGCTGGAGGGCAAGAGGCAGTAGGGGTTTGGGCCTACAGTAGGCAAAGGCAGTAATGAGAGTAGAGAGGGGGTCAGAGGTGGTGGGTTAGGGCAGGCAAAGGCTGTGGATCCAACTCTGACCCCGACCCCCACCTGGAGTCAGTGTTGGAGTTGGAGCCTCAGCAACTGTCTGCTCCCTCACTTGTATTCAAATCCAGAGTGAGGAGCATTTTTTCTCATGTTAAATGGGGGGGTGAAGAACCTCATCCTGGATTTGAGTAAATCTGGTATGTGGTATGTGGGAAGTTAACATTTCTGTAAAACACATTAAATAATCCCATTGAATTAGCCATGAGTACTGTAGGTGTATTAGTCATAAAGGAAAATTGATCCCAAGACATTTCCAACAGCTGTATTTAAACCCAGATCAGAAAAATGCTCAACAAAGAAGTTTTCCATGATTCAAGTAGGTTACATTTACCATTTTAAAACATGGAAAATCTATGTTCTATAACCTATTACAGTGTCACTCTTCAAATTGCTGTAGTTGAATGTAAGCATTGCTATTGCATACCATAAAAATTCGCACTGATCTAAAGCTTGGCACACAAGAGCTGTCTAAAAACCCATTAATATTTTGCTGGCAGCTTTTTAAACAATCTGTTCCATATTTTTTGAATACCACAAATAAAGATATTAATTCCTTTAAGACGCATTTTCTGCACTTAATTAAAATGTGGTAGTAATTTATAAAATCAGATGTGTCACAGGTTAAGCAACTGAGAGAATCTAATCATTTACTATTTTGGGAGGGGGGAAGAAACATGGCAGTGAGGTATACATTTTTAAGCAGTAAATTGGAAAGATTGTTATGATACTGACTACTAGAACAGAGCTTCTTCGAGAAGCCACAATTTATTCTCAGTCTTTATGTGTAAGTATGATGGATGTCAATGAAATAAGAGTATAACATGCTTAATATGAGTGAATGCAAATTGACAGGAATTAAGTACATTCATCTGGGGATGGATCCTGGTCCTTTATCTCCCCAGGCTTTATATATGGCTTTGAAGTACCCAATGGAACCAATACAGTGGTGGGAGGGACAAGGGCTTGTTCAGGAGCTCCTCACTCTGTGTGAAAGGGACCCTGGGAAGGCTACATAGAGTTTTTGGGGATGAAGTGTGGTTTCATCTATGAATACCCAAATCTACCAGTTAGGTTCCTCCTCTGTCTTTCTCCATTACTTTCATGAGAAATAAATACATTACTGGAAAAGGATTCTGGCTTCCCTTATCATAGAATCATAGGAAAAAAGGTATGGAAGGGACTTCATGAGGTTTTTACTTCATCTCCCTGGTCAGGGCTGGATCATTTCTGCATAAAGCATGCCAGACAAACTTTTGTCTAAGTTGCATGCCAAAATGTCCATTGATAGAGATTCCACAGCTTTTACAGGAATATGTTTTAATACTTAACCACTCCTTGAGTTAAAAAGTTCTTCCTAATATCTGACGTAAATCTCCCTTATTGAAATTTAAATCTGTTACATTTTGTCCTGTTCTCATTGAACACAGACAACAATTATTCTGATAACCAACCGTTTTGTATTTGAAGACTGCTACCAAAGCCCCTTGTAATCGCTTCTCTAGACTAAATAACCCCAGTTCTTTTGACCTTCCCTCAGATATTATGTTCTCAATATTTCTGATTTATTTTGTTGGTCTCCTGCCAATTTGTTCACATTTTTTCTTGAAGTGTGGTGCCAAAAACTGGACATAATGCTTCAAGATGAGGTCTCCCCAGTGCTGAATGAAGATATTGAACAGTAGAAGATGTAGGACAGATCCCTGGGGAACCCCACTTGATATCTCTTTCCATGTTGACATTGAGCTGTTGATGACTACTCTTTGGATATGATTACCCAATTAGTTATGCACATAACTTATAGCTATTTTATCAAGCCCATATTTCCTTAATGTCTAAGAGTGTCAGAAAGTGTCAAAAGTCTTACACAAGCTCAGGTATATCACATCCACTGCTCACCCTCAAAGTCACAGGTTGCTTAGGTGCTTGGAAATAGATTCCTTGGTGATGTGCACCAATATCTTTCAAGTTATCAAGATTAGACTGACTATTCTCTAATTCCCTGCATCCACCTTATTTCCTTTTTGAAAAGATAGGCACAATATTTGCAGTCTTCCAGGAGCTTCTTCCATGAGTTTTCAAAGATAATAACCAATGCCTCTGCACTTACCTCAGACAATCCCTTGAATACTCTGGGGTGAGTTTCATCCAGCAATGCTGATCTGAAAATATTTAGCTTATCTAAATAATTGTAAACTTTTTCTTTCCCTTCCCTAGAGTGAGCACCTCCTTCTCTGTCTTTGATGCTACCTACACTAATCATCATTCTACAAGATCTTTTTTTATGAAGACTGAAACAAAAAAGCCTTAAAAACTTCAGCCTTTTCTGCATTCTTCATTGTTAGTTTCCTCTTTCCATTTAGTAGGAACTTATGCTTGCCTCATCTTCCTCTTTCTTCTAACATATTTATACAAAGTTTTTGTTGCCTTAATGTTCTTTGCTAGCTATACCTCAGTTATATACCTTGGCACCATTTAATTTTGTCTCTACAACATTGAAAAATACTCTTATTCTCCTTCTTGGTAGTAGGGCCAAGGTTCCAATTTTTGTAAGGTTCATTTTGAAGTTTCAAGTAATTGAAGAACTCATGGATTTGCCAAGCAGGGTTACTGCTATGCTTCCTTCACATTGAGATAACTGCTATGCTTTTTATCCTTCCTTCACATTGGGATAGCATACTTTGTGCCTGTAATATTGTATCTTTAAGGAGCAACCACTTTTCCTGCAGTCCTTTTATCCTTAGGGTTGTGTCCAATGGTATCCTACCCACCAGTTATCTGAGTCTATTAAAATCTGCTTTTCTGAAGTTGAATATTTGGAAAGCTGTTGTTCTAAAACCATATCCCTACAGACTCAAGACTTATCTCTAGAATTTTGTATTGGTTATACAGTAGCATCATATACAAAGTACTACATGGTATGTGAATTGGAAATAATGGATGTGTCTACATAAGACACTTTACTATGCAGTAGACTGATCTACTGTTCTGTAAAGCATCGCTGTGTAACCATGCACAGCAGCTACTGTGCATGAAAATAGTCTGTGTGGTTTTCTATCACGTGTAAATATAGGTAGTAGATTACTGTGTATTAGCTAATGCTCAGTAGCACATAGTTACATAGCTGACTAGGAGCAAATTGCTCTTGGTCAGCCTAGGCAGCAGGGGTAGGAGAACTGTCCCCTCCCCCAGGCAGCTGCCTGCTTCCCAGCTTCCGCTCCAATTGACCAGTTGCAGCTGGGACAATGTCCCTTGCCCCTGCAGCAGGCAGCTGCAGGCCCTGGCTCTAAGACTGCGACATTGTCACCTGCCCCAGGAAGCTGCCTGCTGATGGGACCAGCTCCAAGATCGGAGCTGAGATCCGAGATTGGATCTGTGGCTGGGATGCTGTCCCTTACCTCTGGCAGCTCTGTCTACTGCTGGGGCTGGCTCCAAGATTGGAGCCAGGATTTGAGATTGGAGTTGGCCCTGACAGTAGGCAGCTTCCTAGGGCAGGGGACAGTGTCCCAGCCCCGGCTCTGACCTCAGAGCCAGGGAAGGGGACAATGTCCCAGCTGCTGCTCCAATCTTGGACCAGGGGTTGGGCAGCAGAAAAGTTCCCAGGGCAGAGGTGCAGGGTGGGAGGCAGCTGCCCCCGAGGTAGGACAGCTCTCCCCCACCCCCCAGCCCAAGCCTGAAACCAAGGTGCCCTGCCAGCCCAGGACTGGCCTAGAGCTCCCCCTGGCTGCCATACGGGAGCAGAGCAGGGCAGGAGTAGCCCTTCCCTGAACTGCTCTCATTGGGAGCATGTGTAGATGTGCTCCCAGGGGAAGCCTGAGGAAAGCTTACTGGACAGTATTTTACTGTGCAGTAAGCTTTCTGCACATTAATTGCATGTGTAGACATGCCTAATTAATCATACCATGTTGAGAATAATCAATATTGTCTATTAGAGGTTATTCCTCAATAGTGCTCTATTATGTTTTCAGCAACGATATCCTGTATCTTGTAACACAATAATCAGATATAGAACAGTAAAGTTACATATACCTGATAAAGTGAGCTCTTACTCATGAAAGCTTATTCATCTCTGATTCAGTTAGTCTGTAATGTGCATCTCTACCCTTCCTTCTGCCAGACTTCTGTCTAGTATGGCTAACTACCTTTCACAGTATTTATACTTGGCACAGTCACCAATTAAACAGGATAAAAGGAATTTATTTTCAAATGGGAATGAATTGTAACTCTTGATAATGTTTTGCATGAATAGCTTATTCCTAGTATTTTGTCACTAAAATGGTTTTATACATAAACTCGTACAGAATGTTTCTCAATGCTAGCTGTGTCTACACGAGACACTGACTGCGCAGACATTTAGTACTTGTATAAACAAATACTAAATGACTACACAGTAAGTGGAGTTACTGCACGGTAGCATCGCCAAATGGCTTTTTTGTGATGTTACTGTACAGTAGCCTCATGTCCAGCTTTCTGCCATGCGACGCTACTGTGCAGTACTCATGGGCTACTATGCAGTCGGCATCTTGTGTAGACACAGCCACTGTCCTGTAAAAGAATCATACTGTTTATTTGTTCTGTACATGTACTATGTGCAGGTCAAAGGTATTCATCTTGCTCTTCAGCAGAAGCTTTCTTATACATGCCCACATGTCACCTATTCCCTTGCCCCTGACAAAAACAAAAAAAGAGCAGATGCTTTCAGTGCAAGGAAATATGCAAAGCCAGGTTATTTTTGGCTGAGAGATCTCTGTCTTAGTAATGCTGCCACTCCTGTTTTGTGAAATCACATATTTTTCACTATGAAGAATGTTTAAGAAAAAAACTGAATAGAAAATGTGCAAGTTGATTAAATCTGTGGCCTGTCAACTCAAGCAGCATCTCTTTAAAATATTAATTCATTTCATATGTATTCATGTTCAAAACATAGTTTGATGAAAGTGAGGAAAAAATAGTAAGCTCAGTATTCTGTTTCAGATTTCTCACCTTCTGAGTCGAGTAGAGCAGTCAATAATGCAGCAAGAAGCAAAGCTTAAGTTTGCATACAAAGAAAGCAACCAACAGCTCCACCTTCTGGACACAAAGTGAGTATTGGTCTCATGGGAAAATCATGTTACTTAAAAATCCAGGGATTAGGTCTTCAAATGCTTAGGGTGTTCTTACATATTAACTTAAAGATGAGTTAAGGGCTCTTAAAACAGGAATGTCCACACTTATGACAGGGAAACACATGCTAAGGGCCCTTAGAGTGGCTTAGAGATTATCCTTTTCCATCAAGGATTACCAATCACTGGTTTTGGGCAGCTCATGTTGCAGTCACATGCAGGGAAGAATGAGGATCCAGGGCAGAGCAGTCAGCCTCACCTCAGTCTCTGGAAAAATCATGGAGCACGTCCTCAAGGAATCAATTTCTAAGCACTTGGAGGAGAAGTAAGTGATCAGGAACAGTTGGCATGAATTCACCAAGGGCAAGTCATGCCCGACCAACTTGATTGCCTTCTATGATGAGGTGACTGGCTCTGATGACTGGATGCATGTGTATAGGTGTCCATTTAGTCTGCAGAAGAGAAGACTGAGGGGGGATTTGATAGTAGTCTTTAACTATCTGTAGGCTGGTTCCAAGGAGGATGGAGCTAGACTATCCTCAGTGCTGGCAGATGACAGAACAAGGAGCAATGGTCTCAAGTTGCAGCAAGGGAAGTTTAGTTAGGGTTGCCAGATTTCCAGTTTCAAAAAAGAGGACACCTGTTGGGGCAACACCTCACTCCCAATCCACAGCACCCTGGCCCTGCCAGTACCCCTCACTCCCAATCTGCAGCCCCCCATCCCTGCTGTTGTCCCTCACTCCTGACTCGCAGACCCTTGGCCCCTCACTCCCGACCCACAGTCCCTCACCCCCATGGGCTATACTGGTGACCCTCAGTCCCAACCTGCATCCCCTCATCCCTGCTGCTGACCCTCACTCCTGACCCTCAACCCCTGTCCCTGCTGGTGTCCCTCACTCCCAACCCGCAGCCATCTGGCACTACCAGTGCCCCTCACTACCGACTCATAGCCCCCAGCCCCCTTAGTGCCCCTCAGTCTCAACCCACAGCCCCCTGCTCCCCCAACCCTGCCAGCGGGGGCCTCCAGCTACCCCCACCCCAAATGGGCTGGAGTGCGACAGCTCCGATTCGTGCAGCTGGTGGCAGAGCGTGTCTGGCTACTGAGTCAGGTAGTTTGGTCATGCTCCCCCTTCCCCCCCTGGGCATCATCCCCTGGTTGTCCTGTCCCCGCAAGCATGGACACCAGCCTATGTGCTGCTGGCTCAGCCACGTCACTCCCTGCTGCCCTCTAAGAGCACCCCCCACCCTCTTGCCCTGCTGCGGGGGCAGCTTCCTTCCCTCCATCCCCCCTGCTTTGCTGCAGCCCCAGTGCCTGGACAGCTTCTCCAAGTGCCACCAGGTACTCGCCCTGCCTCACACACCCATCCCATCCACACACCCCTGCCCCCTCCCACCCACACCCAGACAATCCCCAAGTCTTGGCCCTCTAGCCCCCACCTACCATAGACTTACCTGCATCCAGCTGCTCAGGCTGCTTCCACCACCCTGCCTGACTGCATGCTGGCCACATGCGTATGTCTACTCACTCACACATGGTGCCTCCCGCATCCAATCACCCTCCCCCTGCTCCTGCCAGCCCCAAGCAGCTCCTTGCTAGGGCAAGCTGGGAAATGCTAGGAAAAATATAGCTGCCGAACAGAGCAAAATCCTGGACATTTGTTCAGTTTTCAAACTACTGCCCAGAGTGAGATTGGTGGATCCAAAAATAGGACTTTTCCAGGAAAACCTGGACTTATGGTAACCCTAGTTTAGGTTGGATATTAGGAAAAACTTGCTCACTAGGAGGGTGGTGAAGCACTGGAATAGGTTACCTGGAGAGGTGGTGGACTCCCCATCTCTGGAGATTTTTAAGGCTCAGCTCATCAAATTCCTGGCTGGGATGATCTAGCTGGGGATGGTACTGCTTTGAGCGGGGGGTTGGGTTGGATGATGTCCTGAGGTCCCTTCCAACCCTCGTACTCACATGACTGAGTAGTCCAAAAAAGACAAGCCACAGAAAAACTTTGCATAAGTGGAGTGCTTACCAAATTGGCATTGCATTCATTTATATAGATTCAAATCTTGATTGTGTAGTCCTTATTTAGTCATTTAAGGGCAGTAAAATGAATAGAATATCACACTTGTTTTCAAAATTGTGGTATACAGTTTCATGAAGAGTATGCATCATACATACTTAAATACTGTTATAATGCTTTGTAAAACTAGTATTGTATTACAGTCTCCATTTTTAATTTTTTGGAACAGCTATATAGAAATCACATCTATTTTTCCCAGTTAGTTAAAAATTTTGCATGAATATGGTGTTAAATATGGTGTGAGGAAAATGTTTTTTATGATTATTGTCATCAGAATGCCACAGATCCTCTGATACCCTCTTTTATATCTCCAGAGCTCCATGCTAATTTATTTTTTTCTTAGATTAAAAAATGCAGTTGAGGAATTGAGCACCCAGATTTTGTCCGCACGTACCTGGCTGGAACAGGAACATCAGCGGATTGAAAAAGATCTTTTACAGAAAATTGAACAACTGTCATTGACCATTAAGGAAAACACTGTAGGTGTCTGTATTAAAATAATAAAATGTTTTGAAATTACTTCTAGGGAAGTATATGGAGATTTTATTAATGATAAGAGACTGTTGTTATTAAAGTGGGATTTTCAAAAGTGCTAAATATTATCAGAATTCTGGTCTCATCACAAAAGTGGCAAAACTTCCATCAGCTAAGAGACTTTAAAAAATTACCCTTTAATATCAGGTAAATTTGAACATCACTTTTAAAATTACCAACATTTTAGTTTCTAAAAATGTAATTTGTAATGATGACCAAGGTAACGTGAGAGTTTTTATTAACTGTTCATAATTTCTTAAACATTAACAGTTTGCAGAGATGATAATAAGAGAATTTTTGCATGTCTAGGGGATGACTAATATAATTTATTATCTGAAAGTAACTAATTATAATTATTATTTTCACTGAGCCCAGGAAATGAGTGAAAGTGCCATTGAGATGAAATTCAGCCAGCTCTCAGTGAAACTTGATAAAATAGAAGAAATCCAAAAAATAACTATGGAAGCACATGGAACAAAACAGACTGAAGATAAAACAAATGTTCGAATCAGCAAGCTTCAAAATGAAATTAATGAAGATATAAAAGAAATGAAAGCTGAAGTTAATGCCGGTAGGGCCACAGTTGTCGAATCTTTTACTGTGACTTGTGATTTAGCTATAACAATAATACTTTCCATTAAAGTATATTTCACTTGAAGATCTCAATGTAGTTTGCAGGTTTTTGATAAGATTTATAATGGGCTATGCAATGGGTGCACAGATAAGATATATATTCAACAGCCATATCCACAAGTACCTACAGAAGAAAAGAATGGAACCCAATTAGCTCGAGAGTTTTTTCTCTTCGCGTTATTTTATCTGTTTTTAGAAAAAAAGGGAACTCAGTAATCTGTTGGGAATAGCCAAGAAAAAAGGATATGTTTACATTTCTTTCAACAACCCGTGGCTCATGTAATCCGTAAAAGAATACACTTTAATTGACTTCAAGTTAGTTTCATCCATCTATACCAGCAGAAAGTCCTGTGTCTTCATTAAAAACTTTTGGTGCCCTGGCAATGAAAATGTACTAAATGAACTGTTAAATTGTAATCTTGAAACAAAAATAGCTTTTGTATAACTTCTAGGCTTAATAATAAAACTACTTCAATTTCTGTCTACACTTAGGCTTTGCAGCTATCTACGAGAGCATTGGGTCCCTGCGGCAGGTTTTAGAAGGTAAAATGAAACTTGACAAGGATGAACTACAGAAACAGATTCACCAAATGAAGCAGGAAATACCAACGTGGGGAGAATCAGGTCCATGACTGATTACAAACTTTTGTCTGAACGAAGGGCATGTACATGTCTAAATAGACAGGCTGTAATCCCAATTCAAACTGTAATCTAAATTAAATGCATGTACCAAATGACATGAGCTTCTGTTCCACAGGTCTGTATCTTTACTGTAAGTGGCATATGCAAACTTTTGATAGCTAAATTGATAAATACTTCTTATTGACTAAAGCCATGGATAGCCATTGCATCACTCCAGCTGGTTTCAGTGGAGTTGGTGATATAAAACGAGAGAATCGCATTGCTGAAGGTGGTGCCAAATTTGTTAAAGGAGCTTCAGTGCTGCCCCTGTTTTCATGGGCATGTTTGGGGAGTTACGTTCTGAAATGTCGGCACTTTCTTGTATTATTAATTCAAAGTTCTTTTTAAAATACCCAATGTAAGAGAAAAAAAAAAGCCCCAAAGATTAATATCACTTGGTAGTTCAACATCCAGCTAGATTTTGCTACATGTGGAGTCAATGGACAGTCTCTTTTTGGTTTCATTTGGAACAGAACTGGCTCCTAAGTAACCACTTAAAAAAAATCCAGATCCCATCAGAGAATAACATATTTGCTTCATTTAAAAATATTTTGTGTGTGTGTATATGTGTGTCAACTAGATAGTGATTTTATAGTTATAGGCTAAAATTAATCTGTTTGAGCAACATAGGAAATTTAACATTTATGTTGTCCTTAGGTGTTGTGACCTTTAAAAATATTAAATAGATAAAAATGAGATGGGGTTAAAGATCTGTATGCAGTATTTTACTAATATCAGTTGTGTACTTGTGCCTTCTTTCTTTATGTCAGTAAAACTTTGAGGGCTTGATGTCAATTGAAAGAGTGATAATCCAAACAATTCTGGAAAATATCAGGTAAAAATAAGATGCGTTGTATCATGAATTATCATCAAGTAGGAATTTTTATTACTGAGACCACTGACCCCTCAAATTTAATTAATATATTTAGATTTTAATAACTTAGCATGCATAAGTAGATTCAAATTGGTAATACATTTACAGTATTTCCAAAGAATATTTTAATCTCTTAATGTACTTTACTGGTGCTTATTTGAATTTCCGTAATAGATTACACAATGAAAATGAGCACCAACACTGTGTAGTAATCTAGATGGAAAAATAAATATTTTATATATTCATTTAGGACCCAATCTTATTCCTGTTCCCTTCAAGTGGTACAGGATCAAGCATATATGGTCTCATCCAGTACTACTCATTGAAGTTAGCGTGAGCCTTGGCATTATCTTAAGCAGGTTTTTGCTTATGTCCATATTGCCAAATGCTTTTTCTATTTAATAGTCTGTGGTAAACCCTTGTGATTTGTCAGGAACAAGGGTTTGGCCCACATAGTTTACAGGGGTTAGGGTCCCAATCCTGCAAAAACTTATCCTTTTTGAGTTCATTAGACAATCAGAAGGCAGGGTAGGTATGCACCTTTAGAGACTACTTATAAAGTTTATAGACTATTCATTAGACAATAACATGTGTACAATAAAGTAAATGTATAAGTCTTGACAGGATCAAGGCCTACGTTTGCATTCACTGCCAATATAGCCAAACAAATTTTTAACATATTATTGAGCAGAGCTTAAGATTTTGCAGCTTCAATTTCCGATACTAATAGCAAATGCGACTCGAAGTTCTACTTTGTATCATTCAGCTGGCCTCAGGCTGTGAAGTGTAATTAAAATGGCAGCTAGAGATAAGAGCTCTGTACTTTCAAAGAAGATGGTGAAACATATACAGGTATTTCTTAAAAGTTGTTTTGAAAATTCCTTTTTCTTGATGTCTGTCTTCTTAACTAGTAAATATTTAGCCATGTATGGTGGAGAAGAAAGTACTGGTGTTTTGTAAAAACAAAAACCCAAAATATTTTTCTTCTGTAATGGCAAATCTGTAACAAAGAGATTACAGAAAACGAACAAGCATACAGGAAGTCGGAGAAACAATTTATATATGATTTTAATAAAAATGTTTCTCTTGTAATGACTTGTGTTATCAATCCTGAATATAAAGTAATATAAGAAACACTAGCTGGGTACTTCCTTTTAATCTTTTGAAAACAATTTCTTGTCTAACTCTGAATAAAAATGCATTTGTCAGGTCAAAAATCATATATTTCTAAAATAATAGCAATATCTGTATTACATTAGATCATTGTTGCCCAACTTGAAAGATGCAATGCCAGGTGGAGGATGTGAATTACAGAAAAGGGCTGTGGGTGCAGATGTAGGGGGTGGGGTGGGGTGGGGTGGGGTGTGTGTGTGGGTGGGGGGAGATATGCATTGATGTGGTTGGAAGTAATAGAGGGATAGAAACAGATATTTGACCTTCTTCTGCACATGTGGAGGTAAAGCCCTTCCACCTTCCTCTCTTCTGTGATAGCTCCTAACGTGACCAGTTATGGGAGCAGCATGTTACAGGGTTACAGGTTCAGGCACTGGTCTATTAATCCAAACTTCTCTGGCCTGCTCAGTTGTAACAACACATACAGTCCAATCTCACAGAACATACAACATGCATCCGTTTCAAGCCTAAGCAGGATGTAGATAATGGTTAGTGGGCGAGTTGTGAGGGATGTCCAAGTGGGTTGGGGTGGAGGAAGAGTGGAGGAAGAACAGGTTAGTAAAGCTAGCAGCAGAGAAAGAAAGAATGGACATAAATAATGCCACTGTGCTGGAGTGTAAGTACAGGAGACATGGAAGAGGAATCCACTTGCAGATGTAGCACAAGAAGGGTTTAAACCCAAACCAGGAGCTATTGACTAAGCTAGAAACAGCTTGTACAGAAAGAATATACCGCTTTAATTTACAAGTCACCAAAGGTATAACAGAGCAGCTCTGCCTTCTGTGCAATGGTGGTGCACAGCTGCAGTGGTGGCTATTTTTGCACCCTCCTTCCCTGCCACTCAAAAACAGCACCCAAGGCTGCTACCCCAGATATGGCTTTCCTCAGTTATGCTACTGCATGTCACTATGAGTGTTCTAGATTTGTCCTTTGCATTTCACTTGGCTTGAACGGTAGACAAGAATGAGATGAGATGAGATGAGATGAGATTCATTTTCCCTTCAGTCACTTTCCCTTTCTGGTGTGCATGTGGTAGCAAGTGCTGGCTTGTTTCATATGCTACTGGGGAGTTTCAAAGCAGGGTTTTAGCACACATCTTGGAGACTTTTAAAATGAAGTATCTGCTGTTCTGAAAATATTAAGTAATTTATTTCCCTGAAACAAATACACAGACCCAGGGACATTTTAATTGATAACAGGTTTTTATAAAATCTTGTTTTGCAAAACTAAAATTTGGTTCCAAATTGGACTGACAGAAATCCTGTAAAACCAAGAGGAAAGTTTTCAGGTGTTCATGAAGCAGAACAACCTTCCCTGATGTTTAGTTTCATATTGCCATCTTGTGGTCATTTTATTCTGAAGGCAGGGTAGATTTGCACCTTATAGACTAACCAAAGTAGATAGATAACACAAGATTTCATGGGCTGAAGCTCACTTCATCAGATGCAGTGAAAATGTTCATAAAGCTGTGTATAAGAAAGAGAGAGAAAGTGGAATGCAAAAGACAAGCGAGAAGGAGAGAGTGGGGCAGGGGGAAATGCTGCAGAGGCAAACAAACAAGCAATAAACACATAGGAACAAAGAGGTCATAAAGGCTAATCCAGGTAACAGGATAAGAATTCATAGTCCCTGTTTAAACCATTGCATTTTGCTCAGTGAGGGACAAATATATTTACCCATTCTTTGACTGTACAGCCCTTGTGACAGCAGAAATAGTGGGCTTTCCTTGCACGAGGAGGGTGCTGGCCCCATGGGAGGAGGCAATACTCAGCGTCACCTTTCTTAAACTGGACGGAGGATTCCTCCCTAGCCCTTTCTCGTTTGGATCTCCCCAGGGACCACCGTGAGTAAGTAGAGTAGGAGGATTCAGAAGGAATGATATCTCTCATCTCACTTCATGTGGGAACCAACACTTCTCTTCTCTTGGAAATGGTTTGATTCAGTTTAAGATTTTGGAATGGGCAAAGGTTGGGAGGTGAGTTGTCTTTATCTTTTTCCAAACAGGTTTTGCCTTACTACAAAGTCTGCAGGATCAGAAACTTTGGTGCTGGATGCAACTGCAATGTTTCTTTTTGATGAGTCTTCCATTTCAATATAGCTAAGTTTGCACTTCATGCCAATGGGATGGCTTCTGGTATGAATATGTGCACTGTGTACTGCTCTGATGCCTTTGGGCACTATCAGCAGGCTATCATACCTATGCAGCAGCTCTGTATAGGTATTATGTGCAGGTTATCACAGTTATGCAAGGTTTCTGGCAGTAGAGAGATGCGCTTGTATTGCTGCAATAGCTATTATGTAGAGGTTGCAAATTCAAGCAATTGCTATCATACCTATGATGTCTTCTGGCAGCAGGGGAGGCTGTCTTACTCCCTCACTACACTTTTTGGAGGCATGCAAAGGCTTTGTCAAGAGGCAGAGTACAATAGGAAATGTGTGAAATAGATTAAAGAGAGATTTGGCAACCTGTGCTGTGGTGGAATGAAATATGAATGCAATAAGCCAAGAAAGTATAGCAAATGTTATTGTACTAGACCAGGCAGAACTTTTCCCAAACCAACAAGGGATTCAGCCTGTAGGGTCCTTTCCACCCATCCAGGCACAGCATGCACCCAGGTTTTAATTTAATAACCATCACACTATTGCTTTCAACATGAAAGCGAGAGAGAGATTGCAAATATGATGCAGTTTCTTAAACCTGCAGATAACTTAGATCCGGATTTCCCCCCTTGCCCTATATGTTCTATGGAAATTATTGCAATCAATGTGGTTTTAAAGATATCCCTACAGCCTTTAGAGCTGACTGCAAACAATGAAGAGGGTGCACAGCAGATTTATAAAGTCTGAAATTAGTAATTGCACCTTGGAATCATCTAGATAGGAGTAAAAAAAAAAATACACAGGTGCTGCTGATAAATTCCTGACTTGCCATTTAGGAAGTCCAGCTTTGTTACCTTCCCCTGCAACACACCCCACTCCTAGACACATCCTTGAATAACCAAGAATAATCCATCTGGGACTTCACCTTGTCTTTAAGTCTGAAAAGACCAAGCAGCAGTTTATGCCAAACAAGGGTGCATACACCCTCATCATGGACCATGTGGCACCATTGCTCAGTAACATAACTAGGATGCGGTGAGAGGGCACCAGCCCCAGGCACAGACTTAGAGGGGGTGCCAGCATGGCCCGCTCCCCACCAGGAGTCTTACCACAGCATGCAGAGCCCTGTGCAACCTGGCAGGGGCAGCATCATGCCCAGCATTGCATCTGGTCCAGGGCAGGTGGGGTGGAACGATGCCATGTCTTCCCCCTGTGGGGCTTTGCCATGGGAGGGTCAGCCCTGCCCCCAGGCGTGGGGGCAAACGGGGCTCCAGAAGGGGCCTCCAGTTCTATTGCCTGTCCCTCAGGGGCATCAGCCCAGCGCATGCTATTAAAGCAGCAGCAATAGCAGCTGCACTCAAGTGAGGAGAGCCAGTGAGACTCCTCTCCCTCCCACTTCCCCCATGATCTCCAGTGGTCAGTATAGTTCCTCCCTCCTTCAGCCCTTCCTGCTGCGGGTGCTGAAAAAGCTTGCGATGCCTCTGCTTTCTCTTCTTATGGCTACATCCAATGCTTCAAAGGCCAGACATGATTCTTATTACCCTACGATGCCCTCTGCTGCCTGTGGTTTCCCCTCTAGTGTCTCTATTGAGCTGTAGAAGATTCAGCTGTGGCAGCCTCTTTGACCAGAAAAGTAGGGCTGGTTTTCTGACAGTGGCTCATGCATAAAAGGGTTGCTGACAGACTGAAGGTTAAGGAAGCCTCCTTCTCACATGACATTTCCCTGCTGAGAGAGGTATATTGGTAGACTTACATAACTCTCCCAAGCAGGTAATAGCGTGGACATCACAGGCTGTCCTCTATATAGAAGACTTTCTCATATTGCCACTGCCTCTTAGGTCTGGGGCCTTGTCATCAACTAATGAAACGAGGTGCATGCAATGGAAGTGTTTCTTCAATGAAGTAAGTGACTGTTTAGTGACAGCCAGAGTCTCTGGTTCAGGTTCTGTTTTCTATTTCTCTTAGGCTCACTGAATGTCTGCTTTTTCCCCTGCAAGCGGTGTTCAGAATAAAGAAAAAGCAGGAAATGTGAAACACACTTCACAAAAGAAGGTATTTTTGGTCATCTTGGCTTTTTTAGGGGAAAAATAGACATTTTTTCCCCATAAGCAAAATTGCTCAAATCTGCTTTAGTCATTCTTAAGAGTATTTTTGTTGCATTTCTTTCCTGAGCAGTTTAATCAAAATAAATGTGAGTAAAATAATTGCCATTTATTCATTGTGAACTGTTGAGTTTTTGGACTGAAGGAGGAACTTTCTAAAAGAGAAGGGTTCCTATTAAGGCTGGTAACTGACCCAGTATAAACTGACTGTGTAGCTATTTCTCTGGAGGAGGTGTTTTAAAGTTTGAATAACTTCTTTTTATATTTATCAGTCCTTGTTTTTTCTGAGTACTTTGCCAGATTCTGAGCGACCTGGAAGAACATGATTATGCTACTGCTCGTACTGACCAGAACTGTTGTTCTGTTGCAGAGTGAACTATAGGTGTTTCAGAAAAACTCTTTTTCACATGAAATGAGTTAATAAGAGATATCAAAGTTTCCACCATTGGTCCCAGAACTTGTGAAAGGGAAGAGACACAACAGCCTTAAGAGTGACTGTGATGAACCTAGCCTCTGCTGTGGTGTCCCCAAGTGTCGTTCTTGAGGTACAGACAGAAAACCAAGTAGTGATTCAGTGATGGCTGCATCTTTAAGCCAGATTCCTTATACAGATGCTTTGCCAGAAGTGGATCTGTTTTCTTGGTAGGCTGCAAGCTATTGAGGCTCCATCTCACCAGATCTTTGCCTACTGAGCAATGCCAACACTGGTGCACTGCACAAGGCATGCAGTGCAGACTGTGGCTAGGGACAGAAGTTACACATAAACTGGTTTAAGTGATCAGAAACTGGTTTAAAACTGTAACAGAACAGAAGTTTAGTGCACATAAATCAGTTTCAAAATGGCTGAGACTGGTTTAAGATAAACCTGGTTGAATGTAGTATCAAACTTAACTGATTTAGGTCAAACTGGTTTATGAAACTTCTGCCCCAGACCCCTTCTTGGTTCAAGTTAAATCACAGTCCCCCAGCATCCCAGCATTTTGCAGCTCTAGGCTGGGCTGTACTGTCTGCTCCAGAGAGCAGGGCTGGCCCCACCCCTTTGCCCTCTAGCTGGAGGAGTGAGGGCTGGCTCCCTGTCCCCCTAGGTTGTAGTTTTTAGAGCAGACTTCCTCATGTGGCTTAAGTATACATCTACCCTGCAGACACTGCTTTAGTTGCACCTTGTGTAGACACATACCTGAGCTAGCTTCAGAACAGGTAGCTTGGGTTCTATTCCTACTGAAATAATGGACATCTAGATGTCAGTAAAGGTGTAAGATCCACCAGAGAGAAGTGGATAAATACTCAGATAGTGAGCCCATTCTGAGTTTGGTGCAGGTACACTCCCATCAGTACTGTAGTCAGCTAATTTAGAGTTAGTTTGAATATCATATGTCTACATGAGCTGCAGTGGCTACAACATAGATGTACTTCCCTTGATATGCTTCATATCCGTTTCCTCCAACTTGTCCCATCTCTGAACTACTTCTGTTTTTAAGGAAGTAGTTAGATAAAGAAACAAACCCAAGAAGTAGAAACAAAGCCTGAAACTCATTTGCACAGAAGAATGTACATCTTGGTGATATTTGCTTTCCTAGGAGAAATTTCAGGTATGTTTCCTTATGAGAAAAATTGCTTATAGCTGTCCATTTCTCACTGTTGTAGTTCCTAAGAGTATTCTGTATTTGTTTTAAATTTTTAGGAAGTTTAATACAAGCGAATGCAAATGCAGGCAAGCATTTATTCATTATGAACTGGTGTGTAACTAAACCAAAAAGAGATTTAGGGGAAAGAAGCAACAGTAGGAACAGCTTGAAAATAGGTACATAGAAAGTATGGAGAGGGGAACTGGGGAAGTGTTTCTAAAATGTTTGGAGCAGCCTGTGAAGTTACTTGACTGTGGTGGTTCCCAGTAAGTTTTAGAGCAGTGAATCTAGGATCCACCCTGAGATGCTGCAGAATCTATGGCTCCGAGGACTCTGGGAGCACTTTTGTAGCCCCAGCAAGAATTTCAGCATTAAACACACCGTTTTCCATTTTGTCCAATGTCAGTATGTTTCACATAGCTGCTAGCGTAGGGGGTAAATGCTACAAATTTCACACAATTTTTCACTTGGCAGAATGAAGTGCCTCACTTCATATGGAAGTGTATTTCCTGTTCTTCTGCATAGGGGACCACATCCTGTCATCTTATAGAACAGCACTTCACTTTGTGGATAGCCCCACTGAAGTCAATGGCAGAAACAAGTAGAAAGAAAACATTGCTCTGAATAGAGAACCTAGAAGCTGATCCTTGGTGCCCACGTAAAAGTGCCAATTCATGACATTTCCATAATTCCCACACACGATGCAAAAATAGTAAACTTTGTCATGGGAATTTAAGCAAGATTGGAAATGTCAGTCAGCTGTATTATTAATTGGATATGGGACTAGTTCTAACACTGAAATAAGAGTTTCCTTCATACTTCACAGGAAGCAGGTTGGTGCCTGGAAATCATCCATCTGGACTATGCATAGGACCATGAACATCAGATTACTTTTTAGAAGGGTGGGGGATGGCGGGATATGCTAGTATTTTGAGTGCTGCAACATTGCAATGCAATTCCTGTCTAGACAGTGAGCTAACTCCTCCTGAGGAGATGAGGGCTGTCAGGGAGAAGTTGTGTCTTTGGCAACTAAGATCACGAAGACTGCATCCACACATGCAATTAACTGTGAAGTAGATGAATTAGCTGTGAAGTAAAGTATCACTGTCTCCACGTGCAATGCTATTAGGCCACAGTAAACTAATTAACGCTGCTGTAAGATAGCACTGTCAGTAAAATTTAGTTACTCAGAGACAGTACTATCTTACAGGGCTGTGCAAAACTTTGGGTGCTGATTCGATTTGGAGGAGATTTGGCCTGATTTAGTGGCCAAATCTCTAAATCCTAATTTAATTGGGAGGCCATTAAAAAGGTCTGAATCGATTTGAAGCTCTCCAAATCAATTTTGAAAAGATTTAGAGAACTTTGGAGATTCAGGCAGTCCCCATTCGCTGCTGTAGGGAGCTGGACCTGGACTCTGTGCCCATAAGTAGGGGTTGGGGGGGCTGGGAGAGGGGGGAGGGGACCGTGGGGGACCCCCACCAGGCCCCATCCCCTGCCTGCTCCCCCATCCTCCCTGAGCACCTCCCAACCCCTGCCTGCTCCCCAGCACCCCCCATCGCCGCTCCCCCCCCCCCCCCGCCCCACCC